TAAGCTGAGTCTGAAACAAAGTCCGTCGAGCGACTTGCACCTGGTCATTCTCGGCTATCAGCAGGGTGTTCGATCGGTCAACTGATAAGCAGCTGTTTCGCCTTCCTTTATGGAAACATTCACAAAAGCTATCAAAATTATCGCAGCTGCGACTTTTCAATTTTTCAGTCAAAAAAGCAGCAGCCATACACTAAGGATCTCTCAGCTTTCTGAGAGTGTCGAGATGTCGAGATGCATGAACCCAGCATTCGTCTCAGAAAGCATATTTTAGCCGCCTAAACCAGGGATCGCAGTTTTTCAGTCATAACCCATCACTCATGATCACAAGTGAGTAGGAGATGAAAATCGGCTTGATCACATACCATTTCGTTGAGACGACCTGGAGTATTGGCGAATAAACTGTACATAGCCAACATACATTTGTAGGCAGATTTAAACGACTGTCCAACAAGTATATGCCGAAATCATCATGGCAGCAGCAAGAATCAGGATTGGATTTGGATTTCTTGATTAGGTTTAAAACGTGATTCAGAATGTAATTATGTCTAGCGAAGAATCAAACATAAAACTGGGGATCAAAACGATGCATAAAGTTGGTTTTATTCAGAACCAGAATCAAATATAAGAGTGAGAATCAACGTTTGACTTAAAGGTCGTCTGGTCATGACGGTTGCCAGACGAGACCATGGCCTGCCATTCGCGATAAGAATTAATCTTAAGGACGATTAGACTGATGATGAATATCGTCATGTTACAATCAGGCTTCATGATTGGGGATCAGGATTGAGCTCAAATTCACCTGATTAGTTGGATTCCAACTCTCACCTGAACTATACGACTGAGGACTTAAGGTTGATTTCATTCGAATTATGAAATGCTGAGGTCATACTAGAATCAAATATAGGAACGATATATCAGGAACAAAGGTTAGTAGTCTAGTGATAATGATCAGAGTAGAATTAAGCTTGCGATGACCTCAAAATCAGAATTAGGCTAAAGGTCAGTTTGATTCAGGTTTAAAAGTAATATTATCAGACTAGAATCAAGAATAAGACACTGGGATCAGGTTCAGGCTTAAGATTGTTCTTGACAAAACTACAGTAATACTTTAGACCGGCAAATCAGGCTTTGGGAAAAGTATTATTCAAACAGTGATCATTATCAGAAAGGTAACAGGAATAAATTTCGGCTTGGTCTGACTCAAATTGGATGCGAACAGACAGAAATCAGAATCAGGAATGGAAGATAAAATTAGGATTAAAGTCAGTCTAGTCAAGAATCTGGCCGTAAAATCAGATTGGAACCCTAAGACCGGAGATAAGAATCAAGCCAAAACTTGAAATTCGTTCGACTAGAATTAGAACTGCGATTTGACTTCTTCCAGACCGTAGGCACGGAGATCAGGTCAAAGCATTCGACTGGTATTTACAATTAAAATCAGAGATTTGCACTGAATACCCTGGCGTGTACGAAAAGTTACTGCATCGCAGAAGTAAATATTCCTCTCTGAAATCAGTCCTGGTGCTACCTTGTTTCTCCATATTGCATGCTGACCTGGTCGATGTTTGTCATGTTTTGGCTCCAGCTTGAGAAGCTGATGGGTTAAATGGTGTGTACAATCAACATTTTTCAAATCTCCACATCCACCGAGGTCACCAGTGGCCGGAAGAGAATAGTCAATCTTCACGTATCCTTGCCGTCTAACTCTTTAATTATGCGTTGAAGCCAAAGGATGGTTAACCAGTTTAACTGCTATGACTGTTACTGTTGCCTCTTCGTTAAAAAATTGTCTTTATGCCTCAAAACAACAACACTGATCTGACAGAGGCACGGCACAGGTGGCTTTTTCATGGAAAGAGATACTGATCTTTCAGCGTAAATATTTGACAGGTCACCGAATACAGAAATATACAAAATACATGAGCGAACGATCTTCTCGCTCAAAGTTCATCTGACACCTAAGTTCCACGCCGGTGAGCGACTGAAAATAAACTCGAACTCACCTTGATGTTTGGGTAATACGAAAGACGGCCATCGCTGTACAAACAGACGTACTTCTTCTTCCACTCCTTGTTGAGCGATTTCGAACTGCGTTTGTACATGACACCTTGTTTGACGGGGATCGCCCGACCGCCGCCGATTTCTGTCGCCACAGCTTCAACGATCTTACCCTTGTCGTCGTCTTTGCGATTCTTAAAAATCAATCCATGTTATATTGATCATAACCCCACAGCAGATTAGTTGTGAAAACGACTTACGAATATGTTCGAGATCCGACGATTTTTCCGTTGTGAATTCGGCGTCAACAACGGAGTCGGAAGCTGATCGCTAAAGTCATAAGCTGGTGCTGGCGTTCGCTCTCTCACTCCTCCACTCATGGGAGGACGAAACTCGTGGTCCTAAACAAATACAGCGATCAGTTATGTTGACGAGCAACGAAAACGTAACATTAACTACATTTAAATCAATATGAACACTTTGAGCTCGACGACAAGCCAGCCACCCGGCTCTTCGTTCTAGCTAAAATCCAAGATATTTACACATTGGTAAAATCATTTCTACGAACTCCTCGCATGTCATAATCTGAAGATTATTTTTCTGTTTACTGATTGCATCGCGCGCTATTTAAATATTTAGGATAGTACCCTTCGTCTATTTGCTCACAGGGTTGACCATTTTTGTCCTGTTCGTTACCGGTAAATAAGGTATGTGAAAGCATAGCTTAAACAAATGATCAGCGACTATTCCAAACGCCCACTAATCGGTGCCTTCGAAAAATGCAACTTTAGAGAAAGAACTACAGAAAAAAGATTAGCTTTCAAAACAGTCATCTAGTGGTGTATATTACTATAGTTAAATGTTGACAACATCAGCTATACGAAAACTCTTCGGATGAAAGATCCTTGAAGTGTAAAAATACAACCGGGCAAAAAACGAACAGGAGTCGAAAGTCAATGACGTGAAAATCGTCGAAAAGATTCAAACGATGCTTAGCTCCATCAGGAGAATGCAAGGAAGACTTAAAACATCAAATTATACTTACATTGGAATATTTAGTAAAGAAGCGTCTACTCGCCGAAAAAACCTCTCTGCGACGGTGACCAAAAAAGCCAAACAAATCTCAGACGCCATTTCAGTATCTTCAACCCGAACAATCTCAATACGGCGTTTTAAGCACCTTTGTTAGCAGTACACGGCGAAGACAACGCTGACACCTAAGCGACTTTCCAGAAGTTCCTTGATCATCTTTTGTTAAGAATGATAAAATATTGAAAGAGATGTTAGGCGAGGGAGTAACGCTAGTTTATACAACCGGTTATAATCCAACAGCAAATGTTGTTGCTCTCATTCTTTATCTGGGCTGAGGTAAAATTAATGACGTGCGACATGCAGGCGGTGATTCTTCAGAATACTACAAGCATCAAATATATTTTAGTACACAACTACCTCTTTGTCCTACTACAGTTTCGCCAGGTTTTAAGCTGGACTGTTCTACTTCTATGTCCAATGGCGTGGATACTGCGTTAAACAATGGAAAGAAATTCAAGAAGAATAGGAAGAAAATATCCAAAACGTACTTAAGGGGCCAACAGAAGTAGGAGCTTTTAAATATCTACAAACTGTAGTGCCCGGTTGGAGGTACAAGAAGAGTATGATTCATTTCAGCTGCCAAAAATGCATACAGCCTCAATGTATGGTTGCCGTAACTGTAAGAAAGCCATTCTACCATGAATCGTCCAACGCTCTGATCGGCGAGAACTTACTGTCTAAGTGTGGTGTGGTCGCACAGTGGCTAAGATGTCGGCTTTTAAGTCTAGAAGTGCCGGGTTCGATTCTGGCGGAAGCAATTATTGTCCTAACCATCATTTTTCTTGAGCACATAATTTACCACATGTTATTTCGGATTGAAGATGCAAAGTCTTAGAGTCTCTGATTCAGAACCGAGTAGTCTTGAATTCAAGACAAGGTCTAGGTTACTCGTCTTTCTTTCTTCTGAGGTTGATGAATGTGTAACACGCTGTGGTAAAGAAACAGAATACTACATACACATTATGTTAGTCACTCTGATTTTAAAATAAGGCGCTCCTCGCTGACGACATACAAATTGCGTTCGACGACAAACCATTGATCTCATGGAAAGAAGCGCACCAGGAAGGTCTTATCAGGCCACTGGAAGGAAGGCCAACATCCCAACCGCTACCAATTTTCTTTTCATTTATCTCTCTCTCTGTAATTTCTGTCTGGCTCACCGTTCAACGACTTGAGGGACTAAATGGATCACTGCTTATTTGCTTCATTGACTGGATATATCACTGAGATATTGGATGAGTGACTCAGTGCAAATCTGTACCACTGTCAGTGTATTAAATAAATTACGGTATATTTTAAACACTACAGCACATTTTATGTACATTTTTTTCCTACCTTATTGATAAGTTTAATTATATGCCAACAGTATGTGCATATCTAACCATAATGCATTTTTTGACAGTGTTCAATTGCTGAGTATTCCGCTTTTGTGACTGCGTCGTACTGAACAATAGCAAACGTAAAAAAGAGAAAATTTTTGGCGTAAAAAGGGTGTCGTCCTCTTAAGTTTCTGTGAACTCTAAACCTGTGCGAAAAAATCCAGTGCAAGGTAAATACAACAACAGGGTAAATCTCAAGGGAATACTAGGACTGCATATTTATGAAGGCAGTTACAGTGGCAGGAGGTGGTTGCAACTGAATTTGAAATATGTTTTTACAAAGGTAAGAACCATCAATCGATACGGCCATGTCAAAAAACAAATAACCTGTAGAGAAGCTCAGAGCCTATGCACAAGATACGAAGTAAGGTCGATATCTGGATGACACGATGGGTGGATCATTCGTGGCATTTTCTGGCATACACTGACCCATCGTTCATTATCGTGGTCAGATGTAATGGCAAATTAAGAAATGCTTCAATGGCCGGTTAATCTGGACCGAACTCTTAACTCCCTTCCTGACCACTCACATCGAATGACCACTTTTGTCGAAGCTGCACAGATGAATCCACGTGAACATCATTAAATGTCAAAGTAACGTTTTATCGGAAGCAAGGGAAACCATTTTTGAAAGCTTGGGGGAACACTCTGCAAACTCAGACTCGCTTTTGATGGCTATAGCAATGAGAGTTTTGTATAACCGTCAATAACCGTCCTATTTAGCTGACTTTTATTTATTCTTCAACTTAAACCAGACAGTGAGTGATTTTAGCTACACAACGAATAAATCACTTAATGGCTCAAAAAACATGCAACAAGGCTCATGCGACCGATGATCATTTGTCATAACCGATATGAAACCTACCATTGGCGAATGGCACTGGTTGGGAGTGGCTGAGCTCGGAGAGTTGCAGGTGATGTTTACACACGTTTGACGATGCAACGGAGACACGTGCAAGTTAGGGCAACAGAAGTCGAGGCTGTTCTGCGAAGATGTGGCCGATTGGATGCCGTTGTTGCCACCGGAACCCACGGTTGCCGTAGCCGAAGCGACCGGATGGTTAGACGGATTGAAGAAGCTGTGCCTCGCTTGGAAGGAAGCGGCGGCCGCCGAGAATGAAGGTGTCCCCAAACATAGGCTCTGCGCTGATGACGAGTTGCAAACTGGCGACAACCGCTGTTGATAGCAACGTTGCTGAATGATCCTGATGCAGGCTGAAAAACCAACAACTGATGCCAGGCAGCCATCGTAAATGGTGCGTATGCGCATGATTCAAACCACAACAATTTACACAACAAAACAATGTAGCACAAGAGATCAGTTTTTTCTCTGTGCAGGGCTAGTCACGACTCAACGTCCTCTGAACAACCGTATTATGTTAAAGAGACCGGAAAGAAACTTTGCAACCGCTAAGATATCGGCCAGCCCACAAACTTTCATTATATATA